TAATAATAAAAATAAAAAAATACAAAACGTTAATCTCTCAAATTTCTGCACGGCAATGGCTTATGCAACAGCTTCCCTGATAACACCAAATTGCCGAACAAATGTCTGGCTTAACAAGGCTACAACACTGCATATTTTCATCTAACGGCTACCATTCAATGTAGATCATAATATTTCCGCTAAAATTAAAGTTCAGTTATAGTTCAGTAACAATTTAAAGACAAAATATTTCGACCATAAAAAATAAATCAAACACACAAAATTGGATCAGCTGAAAATAAGATCAAATGATGCTCATACTGAATTATTTACACTCAAAAGTATTTATTTGTGTGGAAAGTATTTATTATTAACTTATTAGTTTATGCAGTTATTTTGTTATACAAATTCAGAATGAAAATTTGACTCTTACTATTAGTTAAAATTGTCTAATTGTGAATGAAATTAATGAAATATTCGATAAATTATCGATTTATTTTTGATTTATTTCTTCATTTCGCTACGACTGAACCTAACGTACAGTCTTTGCTATATATTATTAATTTTAAATATTTTATTAATGTAAAATATTATTATGAAATACCATTCACAAAATCCTGTAACTATAACAAAGAGTGAAATAAATTGAAATTGAAATTTATATTTTGATTTAACCAAAATTCTTTTTAATGAGTTATATTTTTGCAGGTTACCAAAAGTATGCTACATATAAATTGTTAATATTCGTGAATATCTCAACAATTCAGGCATCTTAACTAGAAACAAAAAATGCAAATAAAGACAGAGGAATCCAATATAAATGTGAAGAAACATATGCGCAGAAAATCACATAGGATAGCGTATTCTAAAACAAAGTCCACATACGAGTCTATCTGCCTAATCGTTACGTCATATGGATAAATGCATCAATTTGAATAAATTTTCATCTATTTTCTTCTATGTAAAACTTTTGCCTGTCATGTAAACATGATCGAAAATAATCCTAATTTTTACTGTAAGAACTTCTGTCTCGTTGTCTGACCAATCAATTATTATACGCTCGCAAAGTAGCGCCATTTACTTACTTGAGAAAGTCTCCGATGGAGGGACGCAGAACGATTGCACATGGGTGCTGCGTGGCCCGGACAAAGGGATAGGGCAAGCGAAAGGGCAGTAGTCTCGAAATGGTCATGGAGCCAACACCAGATGCGTTTGCTACAGCATTTGCAGAGCCTTCTGCATTCGCATTCCTATCCGCATCCGCATCCTCATCCGCATCCGCATCCAGTTGCGCATTGCAATGGGGACAGCTGAGGGGCAGAACGAAGCAGAAAACTTTTACGTTGCAGTGATGAAAACACAGAATGCCCGGATCTGAGGTAATTGTGGTTGTAGATTGTCTCCATGTTGTTGTTGCTATTGTTGTTGTTGATGCCGTTGTTGCTGCTGCTGTTGATGTTGTTGTCGCCAACATGACTGCCTCCTTGGTCAGCTCGGATTGCTCAGCTTGCACCCGTATTATAATTGATACACTTTGTCTCTATTGTATGTTATTGTGGCTCTCGTTGTTGTTGTCGTTGTTGTTGCCTCTTTGGTCCTTGTGGTTACGCAGTGCTGCAATAAAACGAACATTTCTTGTAAATAAGCCAAAACCAGCCGAAAATGTGACCAAAGCTGTTTGTACGATTTGTCCAAACCTTGGCCGTACCACCAGCAGCTTTTGCGGTCATGTCCTATACACACGAAGGCAGTCAGACCTTGCCACGCCCCCTAAAACGGACTGTTTGTCATTATTATTGGCAAACCTCTTGAATGTAGAGTTTCATTGTGCCTACATTTTGATTAGTCTGATTTCGACTTGGTAAAGAAAGAGATAGAGAGAGGGAAAAGTGAATGAAAGAGATGGGGATATGTGAAATTTGTTTTGGACATAATTTGCTGCGGTTAAACATTTGATTAGATGTGCTTGAAAAAAATTGTATATTAAACAATAAGTACCCCAAAGAATTTATTTCAGTAAATTTGTTTTTATTAATAACATATAACTGGGAATATGTTTTTATTTTTATTTATTTTTTGCCATTAAGTTTTTTAGCTTGCTTCTATTCGTATTATTAAAATGTATTTATGCTATTAAAATTTGTTTTCCTTGATATCATAAAATAACAATGTTTCTGTAAAATAATTTAGTTATCTTGACTTTAGCTATATTTAGAAAATCAAAAAAATAAATTACATTTATATCCTGCCTCAATAATAAGTTTTTTAAATCACGCTGCAAAAGAATGAAAAGCTTTTGCGCGACATATACTTGCCTTTAAATATTGATATTGATTGAAAAACAGAAAAAACAGAAATCAACAACAATGAGAAATCCCAAATAAATTTTCATCCGGGACTTTGAAACTTTTTAACAAACTCCCTCGCACCCAATCTATTTACATACACGTGCAATATTATTTTTAGACGCTCGAGCAAATATTGTCATGTGTTTTGTCACATGCTCGGCGCTAAAAAGCCGGCTGAGGTGAAAATGGGCGAAAACGTAAACAAACCGGCAAAATGAAAACAAATCTCAGAGTGAAATATGAATTGAGTCCAGGCGCAAACTCAACACGACGCCAAGCGCTAGCAGCGCTCGTGCGAGAGCGAGCCGGCAATAGCGTGCGAGGGAGAGTGCAAGCGCCGAGCTAGAGCTAAGTTGAGAGAGAACAGCCCCAAGTTGCATTTCGCTTTGCTGTGGTGAATTGCTGCAGCTCACATCAAATTTCCCTGACGCTGTCGCTGCGGGTCGACGTGCAACGCGTCAGCCCGAACCTCGAGGCGGGACCAGTTGACGGCGAGCCGTGCGAGCAGTCGGTCGTGTTGTAGTCGCAAAGGGCAGCTAAGAACTGACTCAAAGCGTTGCCACAGACGCCCAGTGAAATTTGTCTTATGATCATCATCATTATCACAGTGAATAACAGCTGAGAAACCTAAAACAGAATTATTAACGCAAATTGAAACAGTCTTGACTGGTGTTAAGTGCGCGTCAAAAGAAAAAAAAAAAAAAAAGAAACAACAAAGAAAAGGATTTTATTGTTGTGCTCAACTAGGGTTGACCAGCCTGAAGGATATGCCGCATTATCCTGCCAAAACAAAAATATAAACACTCAAGTCGCAGCACGCCGCCGCCCTTGTCGCCAAAGTTACGTGCATCATTTTATTGTCCCCTTTTGCCCTGTGTGTAAAAGTGTGCGTGTGTGTGTGTGTGTGTGTGCCGTCGTTGTCGTCGTCTGTGTGTCACCACGTTGCGGTCTCCACGTAGCCTAACCACCCGCCGCTCGAACTTTTCCCGCTCCGGTCCGCTCTGTTTGTAGTTTATGCGGTTTGCGACCAACAACCGCGCGACCCCCGCTCAAACCCTTTTTGCGTGTGTGTCGGTGCCCGTGTTCGTGTCCGTGTGTGTGTGTGTGTCGCTGCCACTGGCAAGTGGTCGCCTCTGTTGCATGGCAACACTTGGCTAATCGATGAGGTGCCGAAAAACGCCAGACACACACACTCAAGCGGCCAGCTAAACAAGGATATCACAAGGATAATGACCTAAACCGATCCGGTAGGTAAGACATTCCAGCAAAATGTCAATTTAAATAGGCCAAGCCAAACAAATTCACAAGCATTAACTGATTCTCTACCAACTTTTCGTGGCAGATTTGCGGCTGCTGCTACTCATTGCTGTTGTCCTTCTTCTTGTCGTTGTTGTTGCTGTTGCTGTTTTGGCTGTCAGCATTGTCAGAAATGTTAAATGTGACATTTTCGCTTTTATCGTCGCTCTCAAAAAAGATATCCAAAGTTGGCAGCCAACACAGCTCAAACACAAAATTTTCTTAAATGATTAAAACTGCAAAAAAAAAAAAAAAAAAAAAAAAA